TTTAGCATGTTACATAAAATTTGGTTAATTTAAACAACTCTAGTCCAAATATTCAGAAGCTAATTGATTTCCTTTCTTACTAATAGTATTCACGTAAAAGGGCGCAGTAATATTAGTCTGCCGACACTCTCACATGCCGACACGTTCACAACACTGTCTTTACGTTTGATCCAATACCAAATTATCCAATTTTTTCACTAACTCTCCTTCTTTCTATGTCTTCTTTCTTCCTTCATTATTTGCTTTTTAGCTAAAAAAGTTATAAAGGAACAGAGAGAATTGTACAACTAGTTTCCATTTCCTTTTTTGATTCCTTCTATTTATATAAATAAATATATTCGTTTAACAATATGGCAGAAGCAACTCCAGTACCTCAAGAACCAGCTGTTGATAATTCTCCTGCTGCCATGGCTACCAAAGCTGATGATTCTAAAGCTCTCGCTACTGTTCCTCCTCCAAGTAAATTCACTCAATTCTCTCTTCTTTTCCCCTTCATTTGGATGTTCATTATTCAGTTATTAGTACTATTTGAACGTGTAACAGGAGTATATGACCTTCTTGTGTACGTGTAACAGATATTAATAGTTAGTGGAGTATATGACTTTCTTATGAAAATTTAGAGAATGGACTTTTCCTTGGTATAATACTTACTATCTGTGGATAGAAATCTTATACTTATGACTTTCTTGTCTTCTTTTTAATGAAAATTCAGAGGATGGACTTTTCTTTCTTTTTTAAAAAAAAAGTTAGGTTCGTTATTCAAAATTGTTGCTATCTGTACTTGTAACAGATAATAAGATTTTTGTGACTTTTCTTTTTATGAAATCCATTGGAATATCAATGACCCTATTTGTTTTGAAGCATCTGATATGTTCTTTTTTCCTCTTCTTCTGATGAAAATATCTGTAAATATGCAAAGTTATTTTTGATGGACGCTGTTTTAATTCATTGTTATCATGCTGATATTATCCTTGCCAAACCATCAGAATCCTCTTGTTATATTTCACAAATTTGTTTTTGGGGGTTTATAAATGGAGAGTTGAAATTATAAAGATCAGATACGAACTTTAAAAAGAACTTGATGTTTTCCTTGCTTGGAAGTTACTCATATAAGTACTTCTGTACTTAAAAATCCCTAAAGATGCCTTTAGCCATCATTGCTGTTTCGTTCTTTGATGGTTAAATTTTGTGGCCTAAACCTCTATACTCTCCCTATATTTTTCCTTAACTTGAGGAAGTTTGATAGGTGCACGTTTAACTTTTATATTCTAGCGTTATTTTTACGCTGTATCACTTAAAAATATATTTAGATGTGAATTGTAATCATCCATATATAGTTAGGGAAACTCGTAACATCGAAAATAAGACAAGTTACCTAGTTAGAATACATAATGGTATAGAATACATTTAACTCAAATCCCACCAATCCACCAAAGAATAGGGGAGATTCTCAATTCTTTTTCCAGTTAGGCACTGCTTTGGCTCTAGCTTGGGGCTGAGGGGTTTTATTTTCATAACTATATATCTTGTTGGACTTGGTCATGTCTGATTCTCATGGCTTTATATGCCAACAAATTTTGAATTATTGGAAATACTTGTTCCTTGTATTATTATTTTTCTAAGATCATGATTATAACGTAGGTCCACTCTCCTCCTTTACCTGAATAAATAAATAAATAAATAGGTGCCCAACTTAGTGGATGGCCACTCTGGAAATCTATTTTCTAATATCTTTATGATTAGATACCAATTGTAGTGGAGGGCAATTCCTTATGAAGTCTAGCCGACATGATTTTTAGCTAAAGGGTAATGAAACTATGTAGTCATTTACTCACTTAAACACCAATGGATGCATTTTTCACTTTACTATCAAGATACATGGCTATGTAAAATCTTTAAGAGTTAGAGTAATCTGATAGTCATGTAATGTAAGCTGTCAACAAAAAACTATTATGCCACAGTTTTGTAGCATGTAAGCTATCTTATTTGTCAAGGTACCAATCCCGCTTTATATGAACTATAACCTGTAATTATCTTTTAAATAACCCGATAGATTAAAAACATCCCTTACATTGTCGTTGAACTCATGCTGAAATTTGTGTGGCATTTCAGACGGAATGTTCTTATGGACAACATAGCACAAACAGATCATTTGTGTTAACTTGGCTGATCGCGTACTTGAAGTTCTGTCATATTTGTATCTATTTTCTGATTGAACGGTTCAATAGAAAGCACATTTTTTAGCTGCTTGTGTCAATGAGGGAAATATTCTGTCTGATGATGTATTCTTGTTTTCTGATTTTGCAGAGACCGATTCTTCAACAAAGAGTTCAAAGGGATCCCTCGATAGAGGTATACATAAGGCCTTGATCTAATACCAGTTCTTGTTTTTAAGTTGTCAATGAAACAACTTTTCAGTTTTTTTTTCAAGTCTGGCTTAGGCAACTTCAGTTTGGAGCTTGTAACGTTATGTGATAAAATACAGCAAAAAGATGCTTCTATCAGAATCAGTCACAGCTCAGAAATTAACAAAAGGCCTCTATTTCTTTTCTTTTTTTTCAGATATTGCTCTCGCGCACCTTGAAACAGAGAAAAGGAATTCTTATATCAAGGCATGGGAAGAAAGTGAAAAAAGCAAGGTGGAAAACAGGTAAGATTTTCAACTTACTATGTTGTTTAGTCATCTCAAGGTTGAGCTTCTCTTCTTTTTTTACTAAAGTTATTTGAGCACAAGAACATTGTACATACCAAAACTTTATTCCCTGAATTGCCTAAGTCATTATTCACCTTGTCTTATGCTGAATAGGGCCCAAAAGAAACTCTCTGCAGTTGGGACATGGGAGAACACCAAGAAAGCAAATCTTGAAGCTAAACTGAAGAAACTTGAGGTAACCAACCTCGAAATCTAGTATACATGCTTCTTAACACTTTTGAACATGGCATACTCGAAAACATGATGCTTTCGGGGAAAATGTCTCATTTCGAACTACTTCCACATTCTGGCTGTAAATGAGGTTGTGATCCAAGAGCTTATTATTTCCTTTAGCATTCGAGAAACCTTAGCGGTAGCTAAAGCGATAACTTAAGACATTAAAAACTGGGTTTGTGTCGTCCATTGCTGACCAAAATTTTGGCAATTCATAGGATGTGACAATCCATGTGGTTGAGTTGTTAGGTATCGTTGAGGATTCATCACATAGAGTGGTTTTGTGTCATATAGAAATTTTATGAAGCTGATAACCTTGTGGAAATTTTGCAGGAACAACTAGAGGAAAAGAAAGCAGAATATGCAGAGAAGATTAAGAATAGAGTAGCCTCAGTTCACAAGGAGGCCGATGAAAAGAGAGCTATGGTTGAAGCCAGAAAGGGAGAAGAACTTCTTAAAGCAGATGAGATGGCTGCCAAGTATCGTGCCACCGGACAAGCCCCTAAGAAGTTGCTTGGATGCCTTGGATGTTAAAGCTGTGAAATGCATCTTTCTCCTTTGTAAATTTTCATGTTTGTTGCTCTTTATTGGGTGTTTTTAAACATGTCAAGTTTCCTATTTGTGTAAGAAAAGCACTCATGAAAATTGATATTATGTATGAAAAATTTGGGAGTTCCTATGAGTGGATATGTTGTCAACTAAGTATTAATTTCACAAAAAGTCACTCAACTTTTATTTATCACTTTAAAATAACTCAACTTATAGATTGTAACTTTAAAGTAATTTTGATGGCTTCTCCCACGTATATCCATAAAAAATCTGACATGGCAACATAAAATCTGGTAATGGCTTTTTAAAAATGCCACATCAGCTAATAAAACTCATTTTTTTGATATATGGTGAAACCATCGGCTTCACCGATTTTAATGTCTGAACCGTGACCCATTATACAAATGGCTGGGTCAATATAAAACGAACCCCATCCATTCAAACCAAAAGATGCCCTGGGTTCTCATTCTTACTTGTCTTTCCTTAGACAAATTAAGCATGCTCTATTATGCATTTTAATTGTGAGTGTTGCTTATTAAGCTTATTTTTATTAAGTATTTTGACTTTAAAGAAATAGCATTTTCGCAAATGCTTCCTATTAGTTACATATTGTGCTCCTGTATTAACTATTTCAAATTGAGCAAAGGGTTCTAACGGTCAAAATTAACTACTTTTAATGAAATATTTTAATGATAAAAGTAGATAGCACAGTGGAAAAGAGAAGAAGAAGTGAAAAGTTGGTAATCGGTTGGGATTTGATTTACATAACACAATGGGTTAATGGGTAATGGGTGGGTAAATAGGGACTCGTAAATAAGAGGAAGGGTTGATATGGGATAAAATAATAAAAATGGGTCCTTATAAGTTGATGTGGCATTTTAAAAATATCCTATATTGCCATGTCAGATTTTTCATGTAAATATTTTGGAAAAATCATCAAAATGACTTTAAAGTTATAATCTATAAGTTGAGTTATTTTAAAGTGATAAATAAAAGTTGAATGACTTTTGTAAAATTAACACTTAGTTCAGTGAAATTAACCCCTGCAATGAGTCTGCTGAGGCTCGAATAGAAGAAGGGGTACTTGAACATAGGGCCGTTTCAGACCAGTGAAGATTGGAATTGAGTTGCTTAAGATTCCAATTCAAGTAAGCAAGGCGAAGCTACAGTAGTGGGTGCGAGTTCGGACGAACCCAGTGACTTTTTTCGGAACCCTGTATTTGTATTGAAATATTTACTAAATCTATATAAATATATACTGCCGAACCCAGTAACAAAAGGAGTCTTGGTTCAATAGTAAGGGCTGTGGATTCACCGGAAAAGATGGGGGTTCGATTCCCGCTAAAAGCAGTGTTTTATTTTAAAATTAAAACCCACACACTTCAAATCCTAGCTCCGTCTCCGCAAATAAGGAATGTGTCCTGAGTTGTTAGGCACTAAGAAAACAGCATCAAGTAAAACTTACCAGGTTAGTTTGCTATTCAAGTTGGAACCATAAAAGGTCTTTAATATGCAACACGACTTGTGAAAACAAAAACATAACTGATTCTGGACATTTCAGCAAAAAATATCATGCATTATAGCACTATTGCTATTACACTAATATATAGAGGTAAGATACATGCCTTTTCCCCAGTTGGGGCTAAGATTGTCCTATTGCTATGACAGTAATATATACTCCGTAGAGTTAGAATATGTGGTTTTTCCACAGCTGGAGATACTAAAACAACCAGCAGAAAATTCTTCAGAATCCATGTTTCTGAGCCACTGATATCGGAGGAAGCAGACTGCATGTTCTGCTTTAGGCAGATCAATGAGCTTTCACTCCAAAAAAGGATACATGCTACATGAATCACTGTGTCCTAGAAAGCTCAAGTCATTGTTACTAGGGAAATCCAAAAGAAGTTGCAAAGCTGATTCAGATGAATCCTCCAACGCGTTGCAGCTAGAGGTCTCTGAACCTTGCAAGATATCTTCAGTATGTGGTTGGCCATTCTTCCACTCTGTATATTCATTTTGGTTACTCCCTGTAACTGGGGAACCAGCAACACCACCGAGCTCAACCTCAGTCGTAATGCCTGAAGCTGATCCGTATTTTGTACACGAAGATGCTTGAGAAGCTCGACTTTGAGAATCAGTCTTTTCTCGGTTCTTAAATTTCCTAAATGTCTCTCCTATCTCTGAGTTCCACATGCGCAGAAAATGGTCAGTATCAGACCTTTCTACAGACGATGGAACCAAGAGTTGGGACTCTCTGGAAAGACGAGCCTCAGCTTCGAGTCTAGCACTTTCCCATTGTGCCATGTGACGAGTTGAAGTTGATGTAGGCGGTCTTCTCAGCAGTCCATTAGAGGCAGAGGATGGTTCATGAGTGTCAGGATCAATGCCCATTGAAAGCAGGTGCTTTTTCAGGTGAGTATTCCACAGATTCTTTATCTCATTGTCTGTCCTTCCAGGTAGTTGTGAAGCAATTGCAGCCCATCTACATGAACTCAGTAATGATTATTCATAGTTATTGAAGTATAAATGATGCTAATAGGTATTCTCAATTAGGTAATGGAGTGATAAATACAGGAGATTAAGTATGCCACTACAAAAGCCAAAACAAGATCATGCAAAAGAACGCTAACCTGTTTCCAAGAAAGCCATGTAACTGAATGACAAGTTTCTGTTCATCGAGGCTAAAAGGACCTCGTTTGATGTCTGGCCTCAGATAATTTGTCCATCTAAGACGACAACTTTTCCCACAGCGAAGAAGACCTGTTATTGAAAATTGCAGAATAGATCTTCATTAACAAGCCATGAGTAACACAATGCTTTACTTATATTCCAGCAAGAGAATTCTAACTTTCCTACCAAAAGTGGAAAATAGTTCAACAAAAATCAGGTAAAGACAAACAATTATATATGAGTTTATGATATTGATTCCATAGACCAATGTTGCCATCAGATTCCCTCTATGTTGAGCATCCTAGTATTTTAAATATCATTCAACTACTAAATCAATGTCAAATCATAACACAAAAATGTACGGTGAAAAATTCCTTTTGAATGTTTGTCTACTATATTTCCTTGTGAAAAGCTAGTTTATCTACAAGCAAGTTGATTCTCCCCCATAATATGTTTGACAAAGTATATCCAAGTTTTGCACTAAGTTGTATGTGATAACTCAGCTATATAAGCAGATGGCAAGGCGATTCCAACATTTGATTAAATGGAATGGTAAAGGAGATGGAAGATGACTATTCTCAGGTGCCTCGATCGACTGCAAGGAGAAGGCAACATCTTAGGTAAAGCATAGTCCCTCCAACTTTACATAGCTGTTTTCATGTATTCCTGTAATGCTTGTCTCTTGTAGTCCAGAAAATAAATTGCATTACTCATCCTGTAAGCTCTCCCAATAATAGCATAAGCCATTAACACGACACCAACAGACCAAGCTGGTTAGTATAACTAAGGAACTATTATGTCAGCGAGACAAACTGCAACAAGGCCTAAAGCAGTGAACCAGCATTGACGCTAGTTTTCACTGGAGATGACATTCAAAATAGCCCGTGGCCACTTGCTTATTTTCACACTAAGAGGAACTATGTTGAGCCCGACATTCTTTTTTGATATCGAGAAATCCCATGTGAGCCTCTGGCTTAACTTCAGTTGGTGCACAGGTTGGAAACTCTAGGGAGACCAAACATTGGCCGCGGCAGAGTTCAAACTTGTGACGTGCACCTAAGTCGCACATCAACATATTGAGTCCTAATCACTAATCCAGAGCCCTTGGGGCATGTGTTGAGACCACATTATTAGTCTATTTCAGTAAATCATCAATGAGCTGGTTAAGGTGTATGTGGACAAATGGAAACGAGAAAGAAAAAAAGACTACAGAAAAAAGACTTTATTTTCTCAGCACAAATTCATGAACTTGAGACATCCAAATGATGACCGCAACAAGAGAATAGCAAAGAGGTCCTAAACAGAGGACAATGCCCAATAATTTGAAATCTTTACTAATGATGTAAACAGAAAAAGAGAGTATTTTAACTATGATGCATGACTAGAAGTCAAAGTAGAGCAGCACTAGAAGCCAGCGGTGAACTAAGCTCCCGCTATGCGCAGGATCAGGGGAAGAGCCGGACTATAAGGGTCAATTGTACACAGCCTTACACTACTTTTCTGCGACTGTTTCCACGGCTTGAACCCGTGACCTATACTGGTCACGTGGGAGGCAACTTTACCGATTACGCCAAGGATTCCTTCAAAGTAGAGCAGCACTAAAGATTGAAAAAAAAGGTTTAAAAGCTCAGTGAAAAAAGTTTGAAAAAATTCACCCTTTCCTTATTGGTATTACATGAAAATTGGAACGCTCATGAAAGAGTAAACAGCTTTCAGTTTTTCACTTTTCTCTCTTGTTCCCTTACTCACTAAAAGAAGGAAAGAGTCCCTCTATTTGTCTAAAACACAGAGAAAAGATACCCCTCTCTCCATTTCCCTTCTTTCTTACCACATGACATGTATGAAATCAATATGTCATTGTTGAGTTCACCAAGCCATTGGAAATACAAAATTCAGCCAAGAGGCACAACTAGACTATATTGATTAAACTACAAGAAAACATAGCCTCTGTTACTCATGCTTTGGTAGTACTTCACAGAATGAGGTCACAGGAGAAAATGACTAAGATAACATGGAACTTGAGTCTTAAAAGTGAGTTATGTACAAAAGGGTTTTAGAATAGAGCTAAAACAGAAAGAAAAGAGTGGTAAAAAAACCTGCAAGTTTTGGAAGAGAACGCCAGCTACCATGACCATTTTTCTTGATAAATTGAATGAGCTTTTCATCTTCTTCAGGTGTCCATGGTCCTTTCTTCAGACCATTCTTATCACAACATGGTATTCTCCCCATTCCTCCCTCTCTCATACACATTCACACATTCACACAATGATAAAAAAAAATGTTGACTTTAAACAAGAAAGAATGAGTCTTTCTAGGAAGAGTGAATAGTAAACAGAAGAAAATAGACCTATCAAATGGAGTAGCCACAGTACGAGTTCTGTGTAGAGTGTAAGTACACCAGCAACTCCAAAGCCGGCTACACATTAAATGCCATGATATGATGTGCTTTGCATAAATGTATTCATAAAAAGAATAGGAGAAAAAAAATTGAATGATTGACGTAATAGAACAAGAAAGTTGCATTAAATGAATGCCTTTTTCAAATTTTTGAGGTTTTGGTTATTCAAATTTGATCATATACAGTACTACTTCTTAGTCGGCAGAATAAGCTTCCGGGGTCAAAGGCAGTGAGGAGAAAAAAAAAATAGAGCATTTAAAGAAAGGAATCCCATCTTATGAATAATGTAATGTGAGCATTGAGTTGATTTGAAATCAGCACAGGAACTGAGAAATTAAAGTCAAAGAATTGGGCCACAACTAGTCCTTCCCTGTCCGACATGGACCTTTCATTGGTGATATTTTACTGGATTAACGGTCGAATTTACTATTTATTTTTTTAATTTGGTATACATAAATTATACATTAATTATGCACTAGTATACACAAATCAGGGGCGAAACTACAGTGTAGCAAGGGCGTCGGAAAATGCTGGAAAATTAACATTGTGTATATAGGTAAAATTTTGGATTTACATGCATATAATACATATTAAACACCCTTAAAACAATGAAGAATCATAGCTCAGTGGCAAATGGTGGTCAAGAGGGCCTCATGGTCTCGGGTTCGATCTTCACTCTCCATAATTTTTATTTTTCTTGTTCAAGTTTGAACACCCTTGAAATATTTTCTAGCTTCGCCACTGACATAAACTATATATAAAGTATACACATACTATACATCTACTAATTATATTTAATTTAAACGGTGGGGTGAACGACTATTTAGTTTAATTCTTCTTCATTTATTTGGATAATATATACTACTCATGTTTGAAGTATTAATACATACCCGCACCCTGTTTACATCACGCAATCTTACCTTTCCACCATACTAAAAATAATTTTTTACTTTTATTTGTCCAATTTAAAAAATTAATTATAATTTACCATCTTATACCTATTTTACCATTTATCATTTTTCAACATTTTAGATTTATAATAGTCAAAATTAGTTTTTCAATAATAATAATTAGAATTGATATAGTAAAATTATCAATGTTATTTATTGTTTGTTTCTTAAGGGATTTGTGTATGTCAAGTCAATAAAGTGAATAAGTAAACTCCGGTGAAGGGCGTAATAAATTAAAAATTGAAATGGGAATACATATCACCTAGTCATTGTTAAGTGTAATAAATATGTGTACGAAAATAGGTTATACATTTTTTTTAGTAGTGTGACAAGAACATGCGTGCTTTTAGTGGAATCTTCAAAATACAGTAATATTAGGGAATAAACAGATGAATCTACAGTGATAAAAAATAGTGAAAATTCAAATAAATCTGCATCAAATATGTACTTGTACACAAGTTCATGTAACATAACGAGACAGTCTATATGTATGAGGAACAAATGCGTAGACAACGTAATAAATAAAGCAACGTAAAATGAGAAAAACCCCATGAACAAATGCAAATTCATCACAGAATTGAGTTAAAATCAGCTTTGGAATATAATTGAGAGATCTCAGATCATAGGTGTGTGAGAGACACTTGTCAATTGAACTTTAATCCACCAAGTCAATTTCAATAAAGTTGAAGTCGTATTTCAATAATCCTTTAAAATTTATTTTAATCAAATTCCGGTAAATAATTATTTATCAAGGCAAATCCAGTTTTTCAAAGGCACAAATTTGCTAGATCTCGCACTTATTACTATTGATGAACACTCTCTTCTTCTTTTTACTTGTCATGTTCCTTTTGTACGTTCTTAATAAAATATTACTACTATTTACAAATCTAAGGGTTAATTTGATAAAATAACATTATTTATTCTTTGATTCTTTCTTAATTTCTAAAATGACAATATTTTGGAACAATTATTTTTAACAAATATGACAACTAAAACTGGAGGAGAATTTATATTGCCATGTTCCCTCACTTTAGTATCTTCTTTTTATTTTTATGCTCTCTAATAAGACTACAAAAATTACTTCCGACAAATATGGAATCACATTAAATAGAGAAATGCATTGTATGAAGAGTAAATGCGTAGACAACAAATCAAGCAAAGAATGGGTAAGATGTATATCAATATCAGCACAACAAGAATAAGATGCCATGAAACTAGTGAAGAAGAGGAGTTATTTAATGAATTCTCACACTCAGCAGCAATTCATAAATACAACTACACAAACAAACAAAAAAACCACATATTATTTACAAATAAATATGGAAACAAAGAATAAGCATTAATGAAGGTGTTTGACGGAGAACACGCAAAAGGGAAATGGTAGCAATGAAGGAAGCATCTCTTTCTTGTGATAGGTCAGAAATGGGTCCTTCATTTTCTGGGG